GGTTATATTACTAACTTGAGTGTTAGAGTGCCTACCCACCCACACGTCTTGAACAAGGAGGAGAGAGAATGAGCAACACGACTTGAAAGATGGAGAACAACTAGGGAGTCTGTCCGGTCTTCAAGACAACCTATAGTGCTTTGAGTAAGGGATTTCAACCCTATACCCAAAACAATATGTTATCTAAAAATTTCACCATAACTCAAATCAAAATGTAAAAAGAAGTAAGACAAAGAAAATAGTGAAAGTAGTTTATTAGTATCATGACTTTAAATTCATTTAAAAAAATTTGAAATTATTTGAAAGAAGAATTTGTCTTACTAAAAACTACTAAATATCATCTAGATGTAATTAATGTTATTTGAGTAGGAGTATGAAGGGTAAAGAAATCCTAAAAGAGAAAGAAACGGGAAATGAGAAAATGGTGGTGAAAAATAGATAAAGGTAAAAATGGTTATGATTGTGGAGGAAGACCAATTTAGATCACACTACATCGGTTTAAATAAATAGGATTCGGAATCAAACAAAAGAATATTGGAAACTACTAATTAAGAATTTTCTTAAAAAATAATTTATCTACTAAATGAATTTTAAGTGTTCTTAAGTATATGATTAAATGACATAGGAAAAACAACAATGATTTTAATTTCTAATAAAAAAAAGATAAATATTAGATATTATAAATATTTTATAATTAGATATTTTGTTTTTTATTTTATTTCATTGGTATATTTGCTATTATATAATGATTTTTCTTTTATACACTTATGAATTCTTTTACTTTCCTCTCTTGATATGATATGCACTACGTCAAAAATGCTTTTTACTCTGGTTAAAAAATGTTTTTTATACTAGTTTTCGAACAGGTATAAAAGCAGGGGTATATAAAGTTTTCATTTTTTTAGTGTAACCTTTTACATTGGTTCTGTCGGTAAAAAAAGTTATCTTATTTGAACAATTATAAAAAGTGTATTTTACACTAGTGATGATACCATATTTATTAAGAGTTTATTCTAGTTTATATTATCAGTCTTTGATACCACACGACTACACATTTAACATTTTGCATTTTCAGAACTTTCTCATATAGGGTTGTTCTTGGATTTTTCTCTTTGCTGCCATGACTACGGTAAGCTTGGCTAGCATTTGATACTTCAATGCATTCTTGTAATCAACATTTTTTAGCTGTGTTTAAATTTTTTCAGCTCGCTAATAAATGAGCCAAGTTGGATTGACTCACTAAGTTACCAACCCGTAATAAGCGAGTTTGAATTTATTCCAAATTACATATTCATAATTCATTATTCATTATTCATTATTCATTTTTTATTACATTAACATAAGATTAGAGTTTCCATTAAATACATCAAAATTGTTAAATGAATTTTCTATCCAACATACTTCTAATCAAAGATTCCAACGATCAAATTAAAGATTCATATGATTAGGACCAGTTGTAAAATTTTTTAACTCAATCCAATGATTAACAAAATGAAAATATCAATTTTTCCGAAATAATTAAGAATAGGAATCACAAACTCGCGCAACGATAGGTTTGATAACCTAGAGAGGAAACCTCCCTTGTCTCTCTACCAAACTCAATTTTGGTACTCACTTAAAGAGTGAGTGAATCACCCAATGAGAGGGCATAACACATAACTCATGACACATTGGTGAATCTGTTTCCTAGGCTTATAGGCATTTTTCTCCATTCTCATAGATAAAAACCAAAATTACCAAGTTAAAAATGCATTCTCTACTAACCATTTCAAAATTACACACATCAAGGTTACAAGGTAGTTCAAATGAGTGATAAATCTACTCTTTTATGTTTCAAATGGTTTTTTCTTTTCTCTTCACAAATCATAACAAATCCCAACTTGTCAAATACACCAATTCAAACCAGTCAAGTCTAATTTACTAATACCAACACACCAACAATTCATGCTTTAGGTACCACTCCAAAAAGCCTCTTATCAATGGAGGTATCTTATGTGTATATAAACCCATGTCCATCTCTTATTTTATCCGATGTGGGACTTTGTTTGTATCCAACATCCTCCCCTCAAACAAAGGACTATGACTCTTATACCTCCACCTCCCCTACAGGAGAAGTCTTTTTCTTGTCCTCGAGTACACCATGGTCAACACTCTCTTATTTTCTTTACATTTTCTGTTATAAAAATAAGTGATTAATGTGAATCTGGTATATGAATGAGCAGATGGAGAGACAAAGTTTGTGTTGCACAAAATAGAAGGAATAGACGAGGCTAAGTTGGGATACAACTACAGCATAGTTGGAGGTGCTGCCTTGCCAGACACTGCAGAGAAGATCACCATCGACACCATACTGAGTGATGGCCCCAACGGAGGCTCAGTCGTAAAGCTGAGGATAAAATATCACAGCAAAGGAGATGCTCCTCCCAATGAAGATGAGCTCAAAGCTGGTAAAGCCAAGAGCGATGCTCTTTTCAAGGTCATTGAGGCTTACCTTTTGGCCAATGCTTGAATTCATCTAAGTTATGAGCAAGGACCTTATGATATTACGTACTGAGTTTTATTGTGTGGAATGTATGCTTTAAGTTAAGTTGGTTTATAATGTAAGAGTGTTTTTCTTATTTCTTTGGCCTCAGACGGTGAGAGCTGATATCTCTATCTCAATTCATGCATAAATTATAATAAAGGAATGCAAATTTGCATATAAGTTTGAACTTCTTGTTTGTCTTATTCATTTGGATGAGAAGAAAAGTTGATACATTTGATTGCTTAGTAAATGAAAAAAACAAATTTAGCTAAATTATGCCTTGACTGCAATGAGCAATGCATATGTGTAGCTTCCAAGCATGCTAAGCAACTTTGCACTTCGTTTTGAACAGAACTTTGCATCCTTGGATTGAGAGGAGGGCTAGGGAATGGCAGGGGAAGGGGAGGAGAGAAGGTTATGGAAAAAAGAAGGAAAGAAGAAGAGGGAGAGATCGTTTACTTACCACAACAAAATCTTTAATCTTGTTATTATCAAGAGAAGTTTAAGAATGAAAGTTTGAATTTAAAATTTACGAAATTCAATTTTTCAAGAACTGAAAATATATTTATCTCTTAAAAAAATATTTGTAGTAGATTATATCTGATTTATTTAAATAACTCAAAATATCATATTTTTTTATATTTATAATATTACATGTTTTACTATTTTAGTGCTATGTTGACCGATTTAATAATGATGTTGACTATTATTTCATTATTTAATCTCCAAATTAAGAAAAATAATATGATTAAAAAATTAATAATAATTGCAAATTAATGACACTTTAATGTACAAAAGTATTTGTCTATTTAAAAAAAAGCAGTAAAATAGTATTTCTAACTCCAATAGCAAACAAAAGGTAAGATTAGTTGGTAGCTAAGTCAAGAAGGTATTCGTAATTTGATGTGAAAAATAACAAAACTTATATTATTATTAACATCTTTATTTTCTAAACTCTTTCTACTGTCACATGTAAAAGTTTATCATATGTTAAAATGTTTATCAATGTTAAAATCTAAATTTATCACGTATGAAAATTTATGTTATCTTCTATTTTTAAATCTTCTTGATTTTTATACGTGAATATTTAGATTTTGACACATTTTTAAATTTAACAATAAAAGATCACTTTTTTTTTCGGAAACATGGTTTTTTTTTACATAAATCTAATAAAAGAGTTCACATGTAACAAGCAAATTTATGTACCAAAATATCGAATTCCCATCTAATCTAGATTTGAAATTAGTTGAGTTGGTATATTATTTTAACAATGTTTTTCTAAATATAAGAACCACTATTTGCTAATTTCAAATATTCTCATCAAAGATAGACGTATGCATTAGAACTTTCATTTGACCTTTAGACCTGTTGAAAAAGATAGCACATATGACTAACCACCAACAAACATATTTAGATTTTATTACTTTTCCTAGCTTACTAATTTTTGTTAATCATATCTCTGTACCACAACATAAACCTATCTTGAAAAATGGTTATAATATTCGTAAATATAGAGGCCGAAGAACAAGACCAATCTATATCTTTAAAATATTTTTCCTTAATTTGCTAAACACACTTTTAATCACGAGATTCTTTAAAACTCTACCAATCAGCTACCTAAGTAGTAAGTACCTACTATAATGTTTTTTATACGATAAAATCTTAAGGATTATTTCAAAATATAAATACTTTTTGGGAAGAAACTCTTCCAAGAATTTAAATTTAGATTTTAAAGATTAAATTGAAGTCTTGCAAACATCTAAAATGTTGATAGTAAACGCATTTTATGAAAAATCTTATAAAATAAGAAAATATGAAAAAGAAATGTGTCTTTGTACATATTTATAATCTAATTTCTTATACAAAGACTAAATTTTAATCCTTAAATTACACAAAAATAACATTAAAAAATAAAAAACATTTAAATAAAATTCTAAATGTAATTATGTTGTAAATTTAAATTATAGATATTTCTATTTACATATTTAAATTATAATATAATCTAAATATATAAATTGTGTGCTTATATAAAGGTTAAACAAAAGAGTTATATAAAGGGAGATTCTATATTTGGTATGTATATTATATATATATATATATACATATATATATACATATATGCGTTTTTATTCGGGGTACATATTTTATACTTTTATTTTACTTTTAATTTTATTTTAAGATCAATTTAAATTTTATCTCAATATTAGATTAATTTCACCATAATAAAATTAGAATTGTGCATGTAAGTTTTAGGAAAGAGTACATATACTGGTATATTATATCTCCATCCAAGAACGCAATAGTTATGATTATTGAACCTTATTAACATGAACCTTATTTTCATTTTTACTGAAAGATTTTAAAGTTTCCAAGTATCATAATTAATAGTAATAGTAAAACATAGGCTAGATGGTGGACACGATTTCTTTAATGCTAGTTTTCACTTTAGAAAAACAGAAATAGAAAAGAGATGTAGTTTAGAGAATAAACACCATTAATTGAATAAAATGAAATTATGAATATACAGAACAGGTAACCATCTCAGACTGAAGATATGTAGAAAAAAAAAGAGAGTAAAGGAACATATATTGACTGTTGGTGGGAGGCTTTTAAGTGCACAACTCATCATCTAATGGGGTGGTACTGATCAGAAACTCGTCTTGGGGGCAGCTTTCGCAGTATGAAAAGCACCAACGCTGAGGGAACAATCTCTACCATCTGCAGTACAGAACAATCCAGGGAGAAAGAACCATTCAGGTTCAGAATCAGAATACAAGGGAATTTTAAGCAAATGTTTATATTTGTATTGATCATATGAAATCCTTCTGGTCTGTTTACTGTGTCAAAAATATTATGTTCTTGGAGGATGTCACATGACATTTTGATATGATGCTACTAAATTAAATGCATTGTTAGGTGTATATGATCTCAAATCATATCATAGAAAGTATGCACTTAAACATTTAAATAGTAACTGATAATAACTATAATAATAAAATAGTAACCTTAAATCATAAGGTGGTCAAGAAACACTTTTCTGGTCTTGGTAGCAGTTAGAAAATTCAAAATAAAAAGATTTTGCTAAAATTTATATTAGAAATGCATTGAAAAAAGGGGAATTAATGTTACTTTCTAATGAAAGAATCATTTCTTTACACCTTAACAGGTGCCCACTGGCTAGGACTTTGTCCTTTTTTGTTGGGTTATGCTAACAGTTAGTGAACTATTTAAAGTTTACTTTTTTTTTTATTATTATTAAAATTCATATAGGGAATGAATTGAAAATCACAGTTCAGAAGCATTAATGACACTAATGAAAAGTTTCCATTGTTTACAACATATACAAGTGCTCACTAGTTAAGATGTTACTCCTTTTAACAAGTTGCCCACCGGTTAGCATTTGCATTTTATGTTGTGTGAAAAGTTTCTATTTTTACTCCTTAACTGGAGCCCACCGGTTAGGATTTTCCCTTTTTTCTGTAGTCATTGGTTTAGTAGAGAAATTTAATGCAACAATTAAATATGATTCCCTGGTTAAGAAATACAATAAGTTGACTTACCAAATAGTAAACCAGATTAAGAATGGGATGGTTCAAGACATCAAGATCTGTATTTTTACCAAATACAGAAAATGCAAGCTACATCAAAGGTGAAAACAAACATCATGTCAGAAAAAAATAACTTCAAATAAATACAGTAGCTTTAAATGGGAAGGAACTCACCAAAGCACATCTTATCAGAAAACAAGTGCAACAAATACTAGTAACAGACCCGACCTGCCATGGTGAAACGTTAGTCACAAACAGCAAGAGCTTTAAAGCATACAGTTTTTCCCTCACACAGTTTAAGGATATATTTCTCTCTAAGGTTGAAAAGCCTGAAGCAACAAATACTTTAGAAAATAACCTCGTAAAGTTTCTTTTGACGGCCNATATGATTCCCTGGTTAAGAAATACAATAAGTTGACTTACCAAATAGTAAACCAGATTAAGAATGGGATGGTTCAAGACATCAAGATCTGTATTTTTACCAAATACAGAAAATGCAAGCTACATCAAAGGTGAAAACAAACATCATGTCAGAAAAAAATAACTTCAAATAAATACAGTAGCTTTAAATGGGAAGGAACTCACCAAAGCACATCTTATCAGAAAACAAGTGCAACAAATACTAGTAACAGACCCGACCTGCCATGGTGAAACGTTAGTCACAAACAGCAAGAGCTTTAAAGCATACAGTTTTTCCCTCACACAGTTTAAGGATATATTTCTCTCTAAGGTTGAAAAGCCTGAAGCAACAAATACTTTAGAAAATAACCTCGTAAAGTTTCTTTTGACGGCCTCTAGATTCAATGGGGAAACGCCTCAATAAGAAAAACAACCTACGCCATCCTGAAAAGGTTAGTGTACAATGGCCAACAAAGGATTGTGCCATCTGAAAGACAACATCTTAGTTAGCTTACCTTCCACCGTACAACAAAAATCCAAGAGCAGCAAAGAATGATATAACTGCAAAAGAACATTAAAGTAAAGGTCCCAATACCAAACAACTATACATGAAGTTTCTTTGTAGCAATAATCCATTTATATATTCTCAAGTTTCTATTTTAAGAGTGTTAGTACAGACCAAATTCCCCTGTTTGTGCATGCAAAATAAGCACCATGCAGAATAAAAAATTAAGAGTAAGAGTAAGAATACAAATATTTTCTCTTTCTCAAAGAATCTCGTGAAGAATCTCCCATCTTGTATGAGCATCTCTCAATTCTCACCAAATATGTGAAAAAGGAACCACCTTTCTTCGCACCCATAGCTTCTTATATCCAATATGCAGTCCTTCGAGATTGGCATTGTCTCGGTCACTATCTCAAACGAATTAACGTTTGTATTGATCTTTTCTATCTTCAAAGCTTCTCATATCCAATGATATGATGTGTTTAGAGCGTGAATGGAATATGTTCTTGGCTAGATAGACGCCACTTCAATTATCACAATTCACCTCAGAATCATATTGATTGTGTCCATTTAACTTAGGAAATTCTTCATCCATGGCATTTCTTATCACACTTCTATTGTAGAAATGTATTTTGCTTCAAAAGTAATGAAATAACCTAATATAGATTTTTGGAATAAACATCTTAGGCCATATTTAAATCTTAATATCCAATGAGCGTGAAATTTCCATTACCAAAATACAAACTCCTTTTGGTAGTTCCTCTTAGATACCATGGTATCCATTGCCATATCTAAATCTTAAGCGTGGACCCTTGTGTCCATTTCAAAGCTTCTAGGATTTGATAATAATCTATTATCTCAGAACAATATATGGCTTTTTACCAATCTTTCATGGCAAAAGACTTGCTCAAATCCTTCTTGAGATGTAATCCTCCCAGTTTAGTTTAGCACTAATAGATGGTTAACTTTCTCCATTGTATTTCTTCTTCCAAGTTTCCCTGCGGGAAATTAGTTTTAACATCAAGTTTTTCAATCTCCAAGTTTAGTTTAGCACTAACAGATGTCATCCTCGCTATTGGTAAAAAAAAATCTCTTCACTATTGGTAAAAAAAAATCTCTTCAAAATCTGTCTTAACTTTTCTTTCTTTTGGCAAGTCCATGTTCTTCTCTTTTGGAAATACCGCAAGTCCATGTCGTTCTCTTTTGGAAATACCGCAAATCATGGGACTAGTTCTCCTTCAAGGATTGAATTTCTTCATTCATGTTCATGCGACCATTTGTCATTATTTCAATGGCTTCTTCAAAGCTGTGAAGTTTCCCTTCATCTGACATATTCTTTTGAGAAGTATCTTCGTTTATCTAATCAAAAGCTTTGATCTTGTCCTGTTTGAAGGTTATCTACATCTTGATCTTCATTTACCTAATCAAGAGTGTAATTTGTTTCTTCAAGTTTCTAGCATCTGATTTCTCTGTTTGATTATGTTTTTCTGTCTATTATTCCGTATGAAAATTTTCTCTCTCAGAATTAGTAGGATTTTGTCTCTGAACTACCTTAATATTTGGCTTCCCAGATATATTGAACTGTTTGATCCTCAAACATACCATATATTTGTTTCGAACAATTCACTTCTCTGAAGAGACCCATAACTTGAAACCAAAGTTCATCTCTATGAGAATATGAAGAAAACTTTTACACTCAAAGATACTCACAAGAGGTTTTCTTTCTATATCATACTTTATCGGGATATCTTCTCATCCACTCCATTATTTGAAGGTGAGATGTTGATCAGATTAGTGGCCCTTCTCATCGTATCCCCATATTCCTAGAACTCCGGTCCAGGAAATTCCCTCCTGGATGAGGGCAAAATAGAGGCACTATGTAAAAGTATTTGAGTAAAAGATTTGTCTTTCTTCTTTTAAGAAGATTGAAAGAATTGAATAGAATGAAATACTCTCCCTATAGGAGATGAAAAAACCCAATTCAAGAAAAAACTCTTCATCAATCGTATAAAGTTGTGATTCTTATGACAAATGTTTCATCGAAGAGGAATTCCAACAACATTATTTGAGGGTAAGATGAAAATTAAATATTGACACAAAAAAGACATCAACAAAAGTCATGTTGATAGAAATAATGTTGATAGAAATAACCTGAAAGAAAGAGTTCTGCAGCTTCCAAGCCTGTAGCAGTTTTGCTTGCAATCATGTAAATCCACATGTAAATCCAGAGGCAGATCTATTATTATCAGGCGAGATGATTAAAATAAAATCATTATATTAACAAGTAAGAATACTTATTTTAAGGACTAGAATGGTGGACATGGAAATCAAGATTGTGCACTTACCTGTACCAAGTAAATAAAACCATTGATAATAAAATAAGCAGGCCTAAGTTTCTGTGCGGGTTCACTTCTTGCCTGAATACATTCGAGACAGATAAAGATAATATAATTTACCATAAAATAATGACTGTTAATGTAGTTCTCCCAAAAGAAAGTAAACATACCTGGTGATATATCTCAGCCCAGAACAAGACAAGCAATGTATACGTAGAAAAAAACAGAAGACCAGGAAGCTCCATTAACACCTGCTCTAGTGCCTATAAACGTAATGTGATAATAAGTCAGAACATGAAAAGAAACAATTAAGGAGGGTAATCTGAATGGGCAAAGGAAAAATAAAGGTTGAAATAAAAGACGGATAGATGAAAGCCTAGCAGAAGGGCAGTAAATTTGAAATTCAGCTAATTTTCTTATAAACTGATTTGTTATTTATTCTTAGGGGGAGAGGGGAATATTGCATGGTCCTACGTCATGGATCATCATGTGTTTAAGACCAAACTCCATGTAACTAGTAACTAAGTTTTTTTCAATTTACAATGAAGAGTAAATAAAAGCAGGCTACAATTCGACATGACCATAGCTTATAATGATCTTGGACTACACACTAATTCGGGGGGTGATCGGAACTTGTTTTATAAGTCATAGTAGAAACTAAAAATGTGTAATGGGCTTCTTAAAACGGGGCAAGAAATTACAATTGACTGAAAACTATTTGGTCATGATATTTATCAACAGACAAAATAAAAAATCTTGATAAAACTAACTATATTCATAATCCATTATAAACTCAATCATTCAAAATACAAGCTTAGAAAGACACGATGTGCTCTACTTTGATCCTACTTCCCTAACCTACCAACCAAAAAAGCAATAAATGAAGAAATGGGATTAATGCTTAAATTACAGTATGAGATTTAAGAATAGAAAAATACCTTTGCTCTTATTGCAAAAACACTTTTGTATAAACCGAAAAGGACAGCCCTTACTGCAAACATAATATGGATTCATCAAGCATAAAAATAAAAACAAATAAGCTAACAGAGCTGTTTATAAACTATTCACAACTCACATACATCCATTGACAACAAAGTTCATCAAGTGGAAAACCTTCTGCGTTGTCCACCCATATTCAGGTACCCTCATTTGAATTCGCACCAGTTGTACCTGAGAAATAAACAGATTACGATTATGACTTCCTTTGCAAAAAACTGGCTAGGGCACAAACAGCTACAAGCCCATATTTTACCAAATTCCCACACAATTCACATCTCAAGCAGCAAAAGAAAACCATTCACATTCTGCACGAAGAAAACCTACGCGTTCAGAGTTCATAGGGGTTGCAAAACAATGACCCTCATATAGAGAAACATCAGTGTTGGATCAAATAAATCTGATCAGGGGTTAAAGTTTAAACTTTTTTGAGATTTGAGGAGACCCGTTGTGTAGTAAATAATAAGTTCAGACCAAAGCCAAAAAGAAAGGGAAAAAGTGATTAAAAATTAAACAATAATTGAAAAAAGTTGAGCCTTTTTCTAACCAGGGCAATAAATGAGACCAAGGTATAAGAGACACAGAGGGCATAGTAAGTGCCTCTCTGCCATTGATCCGAGTCATCAATCTGGTTCCACCATTGGAATGCACTCACAAACTGAGGCTCTCCTTCTATGAACCCAAAGCTCTTCGTTCTGAGCCCAAATGCCATAATAGGATTGGGAATGACGAAGGAGTTAATAACACGGAAGAAGAAGAAAGGGGAAGCAAAAGGATGAAGTTGTTTTCGGTGCACTCCACGGAAATTAATAGAATGTCACGTGGCTAGATCTGAATTGCACACGTAATTGGGTGGTGTTACACGTGTAGCGTGGTGGCATATTCGTTTATTATGCAGGAGACATGCTTTGCTTTGGTTTTTGAGAAGGGATTAGACGAAGATGATTGATTTGATGCGAAACTGGTAACAACAACTTTTGGTTTGTGACCGACCTAAAGGATTTATATTTTTACTTGACTTTATCTTTTTCCTCGGATCGATCAGTGCAAAGATACATGTCTCGGGTTGACCTTTTCGTCAGAAATAAACTACTAACAAAAGAAATAAAAACTACCTACAAAATAGATATTTTTATAAATATAATTTTATTATTGTTAGTTTTTATTATTTATATTTATGTAGATCAAAACAGATCCATTACGTGTGTTTTCCATTTTACGTGTGATTAATTTTTTTATGATGTTATTATTATAATTATAAAATTAAATACATATAATTTTATGTATTTTATAGGCAATTTTTTAATTAAAAATATTAAACTAAAAAAATTAAATTTAAATAAACGGTTACTAAAAGATAATATTGATAACATAATTATTTTAATTTTTAAAAAATATTTAAAGGATAAAATTGAAAAATACAGGTGATGAGAAACTCGTCTTGGGAGATCTTCATTCTTCTGTTGCTCTTCAATTTTATCCCCTGCTCCTCCATTCAGCAGCATCCACATTCATCTAATTTAGGATTTCTGAAGCTGATTTTGTTCACTTTGTTTTTTTTCTCTCTTTTCTTTTGGGGTAGAGGTTTGTTAGCATTGAAAACGAAATTTTTCATTAAACAAAAACTAAGACTTTTTTCTAACTCTTTCTTCATCTTCCTTTACCTTAGACTTTTTTTAACTCTGCCAAAAGAAGCTACAGTTAATCACGAAAAAAATATATAATTTTTCCAGAGATTATTTTTAATATTATTGGAAAAATATGTTACCTGCGGTTCCAAGTAAATTATTTTTCTATAATAGTACAGTAAATTATTTTTCTTTTTAAAATAACGATATTAATCGTCTTACTAGACAGTGTATGTATCTTATTGGATTTTAAGATTCTTACTTCAGGGGTTCTCAAATTCCTTCCACTTTATTAACAAAATATTTTCTACATTAATTAATTTTTTAATTTTCTAGATCCATTTTTCTAGTTCATATAAATCCAATCAGTATAAAAAATGAGTGTTTGATTATTAAATCTGATAATCATTATAAGAAATATTAAAGGTTAATTACTGATATTCCTGTGTTCTGATATCATAATTTTTTTGTACTTGTTTTTCTGCTAGAAATTTTGGCTTTCAAACTCCAGTTAGTAATTTTAGGAGGCTCCACTTTTTACTTACCAGTACTTCTCATACTCAAGCTGCACATGAATATTACCCAAGCAAATATTAAAAAATAAATCTGTATTTTGGCTTAGTAAATTAAGAAAGAACTCTATTTATAAACGAATTAGTAATGTGAGAATTTTTAGTTTTTAGTATAGAATAGATGTATAAAGTGATTTTGACTTATGAAAATTCAATGTATTTTATCTTTTTGTTTTATTTATCTAAAAATATTTATAAAAAAAGGTATAAATAAAACTGAATATATTGATTAAACACTAACGGGATATAGGCACTTATGAGTCTTAAGACATGTTTTCTTTCTAAAGTTATTTGTGATTTTAATATATCGAGTATAATATTGTTTTTTGTGACTGCAGACTACATTGTTGAACTGACTAGTGCAAAATTGGAATACTAACACGATTAATATTTCTCGTTTTGTATAAAACTGAAGCATTTGAAAACGCAGTGCTAGTTTTGTAATTTCAGCGAATTTATAGACCTCGGTTCAAGGGGAACCGAGGCATAACAACCCTATTACCTCGGTTAAATAACCACCCGAGGCATAATGTTCTTTAAATTTCCAACTGCAACTGACTCTTCACTTGATAGCTTTTTGAAAATGACTTACTCGGTTCACCTGACCAACCGAGACAAAAAGGCATGCCTTTTTTGACATGAACCTGACTCCTGCATTGACAACTATCTGGAAACGACCTACGACATTGATTCCCCTTAGAACTGAGGCAGTAGGTCCTGTCAAAATGATTACCATCTGACTTTTGAAGGTTTTAATTCCTTTTGTCGACCTCTTTGGCATCGGTTCTAGACCGATGTGAAAATCCTTTTATGCTTCGGTTTCCCAAAGGACCAGGTGTATAGTTACGTATAGGCATCGGTTGGAGGAAGGAACCTAGGCAGTAGTTGTGTATTACCTTAGTTAAGTTGATAATCGAGGCAGTATAGGTTTAATATTTTCACTCTCGCGAAGGAAGTTACCCTACTGTTTCACTGTTCTTCTTCCTTTCAAGCGAAAACTCCTTTATTGCATCCAAGTGCTCCGTCATCGCCTCCACTATAGGGTCGTCGCTTCGTAATCACCGTCGTTACAGGGTTGTCTCTCCGTCATCGTCGCCGCTACAATGTTCTCGCGTTGTTTCGCGATTCCTTTTCTCGCGCAAGATCTCCAAACATCGTCGTCGCCACTGCCATCCAACCACTGTCTCGTTGTCAAGACACCATTGTCGTCTTGTTCTTACATTGCCTCCTTCTCTCTCAAGAGCTTCACACCACAGTGTCACTATTGCTGCCTTGCCGTTGTGCGGTCAAGACATTTTTGTCGTCACATTGTTGCCATTGTTGCTGCCATAGTCCTCCTTGGCTCTCACCGCTGTGTTGTCTCCACACTGTTGTCGTCTTCGTTGCTGCCACGGTCTTCCTCAGTTTGGTAAGTGAAATTTTTTTTGTTGTGTTTGCCACTGTGGATTTTTGGGTCCAAGTAAAGTATACATTATATTGTAATTAGATAATTTAAAAGCCTAAGTTAGTTTATGCTAAGAATGTAAGTAGTCAACTGTAGAAATTACTTAGTTTATGAGTAAAAAGAAGATTAGTTTTGTTGCAATAATGTCGCTAATTAATGTGTTGTTTTTTTTTGTCCATATATTATGTTTTTGTGATGAGATTTTATAGTTTCTAAAACGCGGACATTCTCCATTGTTGACCGGTTTGCACACTCCCAGGTAAATATTCTTAAAATTTTCCTTTTAATATAAACATATAATTATTTGTTTGCTTCAATATATTATTTGCTTGAATATATTGTATGTTATATATGAAATTATTTGATTGTTTTGAATATATTGTTTGCTTACTTTGTTATATTTTACATATGTAATTATTTGTTTGCTTGAATATATTCTTGTTTTGAATTAGCCTTAGTTTCCCGTTTGAGTTTCAATACAAAAATTATGGAAGTTGTGGATGATATAAGTTTATGAGAACTTTTTTATATAAAATTGATTTATCAAGTTACTTATTTCAGATCATTTCTTAATTTCAGGTATATGTTTGGTGTAAGTAACAAGATGGAGTTCAATTATGTATATCAGTTCATTGACTCCCAAATGGCTCACGAAGGAAATAAATTTGATGACATCTAAGCATACATCACCTGCTGTTTTGCAATGGTGAAGAAGCTATATTTTCTCCCTTATATACTTTGGTAAGTGAAGTTTGTTAACTTTAAAGTTTCATTTATGATTTTAGTATATGATAATTAAGTTATTACCAATTTCAGGTGTCATTGATAGCTACTTGTGATCTCCATATTGCAGAACATTGTTGTATGGTTTTGTTCATTGCACAAGTATCCTCCCAACCTTCTTAGACAAGTATAAATTAGTAAGAACCTCAATGTTTGAATTTTCTTTGTTATATAAATGTATGCTAAAGCAATTTTTTTTAATAATTCCCCTGCATCACATATGATGTTGTTTGAGATATCAACTGCTAAAGCTAAAAAACTTGCATGGTTGGCCCTTAAGGTTTGATATTTTAGTTCATACTTTGTTACATTTTGTACCATTCCAATGATGTTACTTAACATTTTATAATTACGATGATATATTGTAGTGTAATAGACAAATCACGGTCATATGAGTGTGGTTACTCACAATCATGTATTGGATGATGACCACTATTCGTGAACATGTTACCAGTGGATGGGAAACAATAATAATTTTGGTTTGAATGTTATTTTCTCTATAGTTTAGATTTCATATACACTAATTGAAATTATTGTGTTTTATGCAGAGATTCAATTTTACTGTTTCAATTCCCAAAGAAGTCACTTAAACTCATAAGGAACCTGGCTAAATATGTAATTCAAATTGTATAATAGTTTGTAATATTAGGATATAGTAAGTTCTAAGTTTATTGCTTCTAAGTTGATTTATGCTTCTAAGTTGATTTATGCTTCTAGGTTGATTTATGCTTTGTACCTCAGTTCAGTAGGAACTGAAGCAGTAGAGTCTGACATACAACCTCATTTCAAAAGGAATCGAGGCGAAAAGTCTGTTGAAAAAGTAAAATGAAATAAGGAAAAACTTTACTGCTTCGGTTACCTATGAACTGAAGCAAAATTCTACCCCTTTTTGTCTCGGTTTAAGACCGAAGTCAAAATGCATACCCCTTTTTACCACACGTCGTTTTATATACCTTGGTTACGAAACCCGCTGTCTGAAGCAAAATACACTGTTCATTTTCTTTAACTGCACTAGTATCAATGTCATATTGCATCATTTTAGCTTTTCTACCGGACAAAGAAGATCAAAATTAGTTATTATTAGTGAAATATTTTTCTTTAATGTGTACTTAAATAATCTATTATTTTATGTGAATAATTTCTGATAATTAAAACATGTTTATGTTTATTTTATATAATATTTAGTTTAAGTTTCAAATTATTTTATTGTTTGTTTTTATTTATTACAGTTTTTTATCATAATCAACTAAATATAATAGAAAAACAATGAAAAAAATCAATCTGATATGCATTATTAACGATTTTGGAACCCCTATAAGGTTCTCACAATTCGAAACTTCTATAATTCTGGCGGTTCCCAAACCGAATTACTTACACTAGTTTTTGTTTCAAGTACTGATGGTTTTCTGTAACTTGTTGTACAGCAGTTTGACACAAACTCTCGAAAATTGTGGCGATTTGACTAAAATTTAAAAAAAAATATGCTGATAAAATTCATTTTTTTAATGATTTCAGTTTG